AGATTTGGGCGTTTTAACCTTTTCGGTTCCCCGACGCCCCTAAACGGCTCAAGAGGCCTCCAAGATCGCCCCAAGAGGGCCCAAGAGGCCCCCAAGAGGGCCCCAAGACGGCCCAAGACGGCTCCAAGACGGCCCCAGAGGCCTCCAGGACGGCCCAAGAGGGCCCCAAGAACGCCCCCAACACTACACAGCTCCCGACGCCGCAGCTCCACACTGCAAACGACCACTGGGACAGGCGACCACGGTGCGACATTATGGGCCGGCGGAATGAGCGAAGCGATTAATAAGAATTCGTACCATACCAGGCAGGCCAGTAAAACTCCCCCCCATCCTTTGCAACAAATGTTATGCGCGCGCACCCGTTCATCAAAAATCGTCAGTGCCCTAAAATCCCCTTGCAACAAATCGGACAAAATGCGTTCGCGCGCGTCGTCGCGCGCGCGCCTGTCGCACTCTTTCAAAAGCTTCAGGCGTCAATTAATTTCAAAAAAGAATGCCCCGAACACATGTAATCATCCCAACGAAAAACCCAACCATGTGCAATTGTGGATACCGCGTTGTGGCGCCGCTTTCCGTTAAACTCCCTGCAGGGTCATGAAACGTGTGAGAGATGCACCAAAATGGGGCGGGGCTAGCCATGTGGACCCTGCTACTTTGGTCTTCGGTGGGGCTCCCTGTGGGGCCACGAACTGTGTGAGGGGTGCGCCAAAATGGGGCGGCGGCGCCATGTGGACCCTGCCACTGGTGCCTTCGGTGGAGCTCCCTATGGGGCCACGAACCGTGTGAGAGGTGCGCCAAAATGGGGCGGCGCCGCCATGTAGACCCTGCCGCTGGTGGCCTTCGATGGAGCTCCCTGCGGGGCCACGAACCGTGAGGGGTGCCAGTCGAGCGCGAAACATACCCGTACCCTTACCCAGGCGGGGTGGCAAGGGGGGGGAGCGACGCGCCGCAGCCGACGGCGGTTGCACAAGTGCAGATGCGACGGCCCATGGGGCATTACAAGACACTGACTTCTCCGGGCATCTGCTGGCACCGAAGGCGCGTGCGTTCCAATCGGCAGAGTGGCCGACCACGCATTGGTCGCTCTCGGGCTCGGGTAGCTCGTTCGGAGGTGCGCCCACGAACGCGCAATCAAGCGTTTGGGGCTCGACGCGCAAAATGCGTCCTGGGTGTCCTGGGCGGACGTCGCTGCAATCCCGCGCTCGCCCCAAGAGCCTGGGGCTGCAAACGCCGGGCGCGGTCGCCAGGGGCTGCTCCCTGGAACCCGCCTGGCGTCACCCCAGCTAGGTCCCGGTACGTGTTGGGGGGCACAATCGCCGACGCGCGTCGATGGTGCCCCTGGACACGTGCCCGTACCTGGTCGAGCTGGCGTTTGGTCGAAATCGCTGTCGGGCGCACGCGCGGCCCCCGAGTGCGGCCGCAGCGGCCCAGGGGGGAACGCGAGATTGCAACGACGCTCCTGCGGGCAGGCCCAAACGCAACGGAGTGGTGGTTCCTGTTCCCAAATTGGACAGGCACCACCACTCCAATGTTGTTGTAGACCCCGCGGACACCCCCGATGTCCACAGACGTCCCTGACGCAAACCAGGGCATGTCGCTGCAATCAAGCAACTAGCCATTCAGCGCGTCGTTGCGTCCTGACGCGCGGATGCTGAACCAGCGCGCACGCGGCAGGCTGATCGGGCGCAATGGCAAGCGCCCAATCCAGCGGACGGCCCTTTCTCACCCAGGCCGACACCGGAGGACCTATGAGGTGCGCCAAAATGGAGCGGCGCCGCCACGATGACCCTGCCGCTGGGGCCTTCGGTGGAGCTCCCTGTTGGGCCACGAACTGTGCGAGGTGCGCCAAAATGGGGCGGCGCCGCCATGTGGACCCTGCCACTGGGGCCTTCGGTGGAGCTCCCTTCGGGGCCACGAACCGTGTGAGAGGTGCGCCAACATGGGGCGGAGCCGCCATGTGGACCCTGCTACTTTGGTCTTCGGTGGGGTCTCTATGGGGCCACGAACCGTTTGAACAATGCGCCAAAAATGAACCTGCGCCGCCATGTGATCCTGCTACTCGGGCCTTCGGTGCAGCCCCCTCTGGGGCCACGAACCGGGTGAGGGGTGCGCCAAAATGGGGCGGCGCCGCCATGTGGACCCTGCTACTTCGGTCTTCGGTGGAGCTCCCTATGGGGCCACGAACCGTTTGAGGGGTGCGCCAACATGGGGCGGAGCCGCCAAATGGACCCTGCTACTCGGGCCTTCGGTGCAGCCCCCTATGGGGCCACGAACAGGGTGAGGAGTGCGCCAAAATGGGGCGGCGCCGCCATGTGGACCCTGCCACTTTGGTTTTCGTTGGAGCTCCCTTTGGGGCCACGAACCGTTTGAACAATGCGCCAAAAATGAACCTGCGCCGCCATTTGGACCCTGCTACTGGGGCCTTCGATGGAGCTCCCTATGGGGCCACGAATCGTGTGAGAGGTGCGCCAAACTGGGGCGGCGCCGCCATGTGGACCCTGCCGCTGGGGCCTTCGGTGGAGCACCCTTTGGGGCCACGAACCATGTGATCGGTGCGCCAAAATGGCGCCGCCATGTGGACCCTGCCATTGGGGTCTTCGGTGGGGCTCCATATGGGGCCACGAACAGTGTGAGGGTGCGCCAAAATGGAGCGGCGCCGCCATGTGGACCCTGCCGCTGGGGCCGTCGGTGGAGCTCCCCTTGGGGCCACGAACAATGTGAAGGTGCGCCAAAATAGGGCGGCGCCGCCATGTGGACCCTGCCGCTTTGGCCTTCGGTGGAGCTCCCTGTGGGGCTACGCAAACAGTGTGAGGGAGGAGGGAGGGAGGGAGGGAGGGAGGAGGGGAGGGAGGGAGGGAGGGAGGAGGAGGAGGAGGAAGGAGGAGGAGGAGGAGGAGGAGGAGGAGGAGGAGGAGGAGGAGGAGGAGAGGGAGGAGGAGGAGGAGGAGGAGGAGGAGGAGGAGGAGGAGGAGGAGGAGAGAGGAGGAGGGAGGAGGAGGAGGAGGAGGGGAGGAGGAGGAGGAGGGAGGGAGGAGGAGGAGGAGGAGGGAGGAGGGAGGGGGGGAGGGGAGGGGAGGAGGGGAGGAGAGGAGAGAGATAGGAGAGGAGGGAGGAGAGAGAGGAGGGAGAGGAGAGGAAGGAGAGAGGAGAGGAGAGGAGAGGAGAGGAGAGGAGAGGAGAGGAGAGGAGAGGAGAGGAGCCGCGGGGCCCTGACTAATCAAAACGAAGACCCAACACCACAGTGTGGTTGGAGGAAAAAAGATAATCGTCGTGGTGCAAGATGGCGGCGACGAGGCGGCCACGGGGCGGCGACGGCGAGCACGGAGCCGCCAGACCCAGCCAGGCCCAGTCCCGTAGAGAAGACGCCTGAATCCCTAAGTGCAAACACTGTCCGTGGGGAAGCCAAGAGCTACTCACCGATGCTAGCACTGCTGCTCCCCGAACCTCTCCCGGGGTGCGTTCCGACCAGGACTTCGGGGCGAATGTAGCGGTGGCGACGAGGACCTCCCAGGATGCCCGAAGAGGCGAACACGACGGAAAGGCAGCGACATGGGTACCTCCTCCTCCCCCGAGCCTGGGGGCTGAAAGCCTTCGGAGGTCCGCCAGCTGCCCCCAGTCCCCGCTGCCGCATGACAACGACTATTGGGGGAGTGCTCGGCTCCGCCCGTGCCACACTGCAACAAGTGACGTACGCAATCGAAGCTCAGATTGTTCTGGGATTCGCGCCTCAACCCGCCCTCGGGCGAGACCGCGCTTTCACCCGCTCTCGGCGGCGAGCCCCTGGGCGAAGTGAGAAGGGGCGGGCCTTCTCAGAAGGCTGGGAAGTCCCCCGGGCCCTCTGAGAAGTTCTCTGAGCCCTCCCCGACGACGCAGGAGACTTCTCAGGAGGCCTGAGTTCTTCTGAGAAGCCCCGCCCGCTCTCTGAGAAGGCCTTCTGTCCCTCCCTCCCTCCCCCCCCCCTCCCTTCGGCGGCGAGCGAGCGAGGGGAAGTGAGGAGGAGAAGGCCTGCCCAGCAGGCGGCGGGGCTCCTCCGCAGGCCCCCGGGCCTCCCGAGGAGCCTCCTGCGATGCGGCGGTGGACAGGCCTCCCTTTGGCAAACCTCCCTTTAGGGAACACGGCCTGGGACCGAAGCCGACGGGCCTGGACCCGCAACAAAAATGACGGCCGCGACGCCCTCTCGCGAACCGAGAACGGCCGCATTCGCCAATCGCCGCGCCAGGGCAGGAGGTCCATATTGTCAGCCTCCGAGGCACCTCGGGGGGCGGGCCCCGAGCACGTCCCCCCCCACCGAGGAGGACCCGAGGGGGGGGGGGGCGCCCGAGCCTTCGCAGCAGGCCCGCCCCTCCTCACCCTTCCCGGCCCTCCCCCCCCCCCCCTCCCCGGCGCGCCTCCGAGGCACCTCGGGGGGCGGGCCCCGAGCACGTTCCCGCCGAGGAGGACCCCGGGGGGGGGGGGGGGGGGCGCCCGAGCCTTCGCAGCAGGCCCGCCCCCTCCTCACCCTTTCCGCCCTTCCCCCCCCCCCCCCCGGCGCGCCTCCGAGGCACCTCCGGGGCGGGCCCCGAGCACGTCCCCCCCGAGGGGGACCCGGGGGGGGGACGCGGCGGCGCCCGAGCCCTCGGGCAGGCCCGCCCCTCCTCACACCCTTCCCCCCCTCCCCCCCCCCTCCCCCCCCCCCCCTTGGCGCGCCGCCGATCCCTCCCTCCCTCCTCCGGAGCCCCCCGTCGGCCCAGGCTGTTGAGGTCGGGCACGCCCCCCTACCGGCGGATTTTGGACGAAGAAGAAAACAGAATCAACAAGTGCTCCAAAAAGTCATCACAAACAGGCGCGAAATTCGTCCCCATACTATTTTTGTTTGACCAGTCTTGAAGATTCCTCCAGCAGAGGGACACTTTGTTTCACCAGTCCTGAATATTCCTCCAGCTGAGGGACACGCCCGACTTCAGCCCAGGTCCGCCGGGCCCCCCCCCCTTCCCCTCCCTCTCCCGGAGCACCCCTCTGGCCTGGTCGAGCGCCGCCAGCCAGCCGACGGGGCAGAGGAAGAGCAGGCAGCAGACCTCGGGGCTGCAGGCGCCGCGGAGAGCCCGCCGGCCGGAGGAGGGCACGGCGCGCGGCGAGCGAGTGCCTGCGTCGCAAGGGGGGGGGGGAGGAGGAGGAGGAGGAGGAGGAGGAGGAGGAGGAGGAGGAGGAGGAGGAGCGGAGGAGGGAGGAGGAAGGGAGGGATGGAGGAGGAGGAGGAGGAGGAGGAGCACGGGCCGGGGCCTCGCGCACGAGGCCCGGACCCCCCTTCGCGTCGGGAACGCACCACGACGACGGTGGGGGGGGCGCTTGTGCTCCGGGGGCCCTCGACGGCCGCCTCGGGAGCGGTCAGAGGGCGACTCTCGGGAGGAGAAGAAGCCGGTGCATGAGAAATGGGTCGATACCTCGGGGGGCCCGCGCTGTGGGGAGAGAGACGGCGTTGGGGAAGCGGGGGGAGGGTCACCACAGCCGCTGCCGCAGCCAGCAGGCCCACGCTGAGGCGGGGCTGATCGTGGACGTGCAGGGCGCCCTGCAGGTAGTTACCGGGAAGAGAAGACCTGGATCCCAGAGTGAGGCACACGTACTTCCCGAACTCGTGGGACGAGATTGGGGGGGGGGCTTAAATCCCAACACGATGGGGGGCATGGACAAGGAACCCTTAGACAAGGAATCCAGGTTCTTGAAGCAAGTGGAAAACCCAATGAGGCGTGGCCACTGAAATCACCGCCGCCCTCATCACAGACAGAATCCTCCAGGGTCTGAAGACTCCCGGGGACATTCCTTAACGAACACCCCCACCGTATCATCAACACCAAATGTATCGTGAAGTTGGACGGCGAACCAAAGGCAGGAGCACCCCACAGGAACACTCCAGATCGCTGGATCCAACACGTCCTCGTGAAGATGCTGCCCACGAGCCGCCGGCACCGCCACATGTAGCAGCACCATGGTCGCGCACGTGTTTCTTACTGAGCTAGGGCGACGAGATCTATACGTATCCACTGCTCCCTGGCCGCGCCCATCCTGAACCCGCCAGCGGTGTCTACGGCACGCCCTCCTGGCTTGGCCAGGAGGGCGTATACGCAGCTGCTGGGTTCAGGATGGGCCTGTCCAGGGAGCAGTGGGTATGCATAGACTTCGTCGCCCTATGAGCGCGGGGCCGTTCCACGTGCTGTTGTCTGGAGCCTTCTGCAGCGTCGTGCGCGCGAACGCGGGGACGGACCGGTAGGGCGCGGCAGCGGGGATGGGGGACGAGAAGCGCCGACGAGCTTTTTGACGGGAGCTGGGCTGCTCTTTGGACACCCCGAGGGTACAAGGCGGCCACGGCTCACATGCGGTCATCACATTGGCTCTCGTGCGACACTGACTCGCGTTCGATCAGCCAGCCAACATCTTCCTCCTCGTCCTCCGCCTCCTCGTGCTCATCCTCCTCGTCTTCGTGCCTCTCTTCCACTCTCGAGAGCTCATGGTCGAGGAGTCAAGCCTTTTGGCGTTTGGTGCTCGTTTGGGGCCCCGGGAGGTCTCCGACATCCTCGCTTCATCTCTACCTCCTGTCCTCCCCTTCCCATCCCATCCACTCTGTTTTTCCTCCTCCATCTCCTCCTCCTCCTCCTCCTCCTCCTCCTCCTCCTCCTCCTCCTCCTCCTCCTCCTCCTCCTCCTCACTTCCTATCCAATCCCTCCCCTCCCTCCTCCTCCTCCTCCTCCTCCTCCTCCTCCTCCTCCTCCTCTTCTGCCATCCTTCCTTCCTTCCTTCCTTCCTCCTCCTCCTCCTCCTCCTCCTCCTCTTCCAGCTCCGCGTCATTATGGTTCTCCCCCCCTCTCTCTTCTCCTCCCGCCCCTCCCCCCCGTCCCCCATGCCGTCCTTCTAGAGCGAGGGAGGATGACGACGCCGCCAGAAGCAAACGGATGGCGGCGGCGAAGGCGACGAGAACCCCCGAGAATCTCCCAGAATCCTTGCAAATCCTCGAGGACCTTCCGACCTTCCAAACATGTTCAACACAACCGTTGACGGTCTTCAGCGACGACGACGACGACGACGACGACGACGACGACGACGACGACGGCCGCGGCCTCGGCGGCGGCGGCGGCGGCTGCGACGGCGGACGGCAGTGGCCGCAGAGCCCGAACAGGGCGGGGGGGGGCAAGCAGCCTCGAGCCCGAGCGATGGCAGTCCCAGGGATGTACCCCCAGAAACTCAAGGAATCTGGCCCAAGGGGTCCCCAGGATCCCTGGGGAGGCCCAGGGCAGCGACGATCAGAAAGGGGCCTCACGCGAGGTGGCGCAGCGGCCCTATACGCCGCGGCTCGCGCGGGTTGCGAGCGCGGCGCGCCGCAGTGGAAAAGAGGGCGCCCACGCGCGACCTGACGCGGGCAGCTTGCGCGGCAATGCCGGCGCAGACGACCGCGTTTTTTGTTGGCCTTGCTCAGCTGGCCTCCAGAGCACCCCGCTCACTGCACCGACCTTGCAGACGTGCTCCAGCGGATTGTCGCGTGGATTTCTGCCAATTCAAAACCCCGAAACGGCGAGCGAAAAACGACATGAATTTCACATGGATTACATTTTGCGCGCATTCCTGGCCACAAAACATCTGCCCGAAATTCACTTCGAAATCCGGAGCGAACTTCCGCAGGACACCCCGGGCCCATCCTTTTGTTTTCCGATCGAGATCCGCTCTGCGATGTTGGCGCCAGGACCCCTCGCGAGGCTCGGTGGGGCCCCATGGGGCCCCCTAAACGCTGGTGCGCAAAAACCGGGGGCGCCCGATCGGGCCGGGGCCACCTCCTTGCGGTATCGCTCGGACGTCCATGTCCCGTGTACAGTGGGGACCCGACCACAAGAAACCTTCCACAAGGAACGCAACCCTGAGAACCAAGGACGTCCACGGATTTTTGGCGTGGGAACGTCACGCTTTCCATGGGAAAACCATCGAAACCCAAGAAACCCAGGGCACCCTGGATGCAAGCAGGGTGTTTCTTGGCATGGGCCCCCACTGTATGTGTCGGCTTCGTGTGGCTACCTTTCACGATTTTTATAATATAACCACCCCAAGGGCTCTCGAGAGGGCCCGCCGAGTTCCCAAAGCCTCGGACACCACCAGAGCCACCATCCCTGCGGCTCCTTAGCCTGTGCCAAAGGCCGTGCGACGGGACACACAGCAAGGCTTGCACAGCCGATGACCCCATAAGCTCCCCAGCGGCCCTCGCCGAGGAAGACATGCGCACGTCCGAGCGATGCCAAGCTTCCGGCGGCACCCGGCGGCAGCGCGACCAGCAGCGCGCCGCAGGCCGCGAAGCGCGGGCAGGCGCCGCACGCGCCCTGGCCCTTCAGCTCGGGCAGCCTCTCGGGGCGCGTCTCGCGCACGCGCGCGCGCGCGAGGGGCCGTCGAGCGGCGGCACCTCGGAGGCACCTCGGCGGCCCTCGCTGGCCCTCGGCGCGGCCCCGGGAGGGCAGTCGGAGGCCCCCGGAGGCCCTCGAAGGCCTCCGGAGGCTCCGGGAGGCCCTCGGAGGCCCTCAGAGACCCCTCCGGAGGCCCTTCGGGCAGCCTCGGCTTGTGCGCCCAGAGGGGGAAGGCAGAGGGGCTGGCCTTCTCAGGAGGCTCAGAAGGCCTCCGGCCTTTTGGGAAGCTGCCCAAGCCTGCCCCGAAGTCAGGGGCGGCTTCCCAGAAGGCCGGGAGGCTCCGGAGGTCCGCCCGCCTCTGAGGAGGCCTCCCCCCTCGGCGCGCCGCCGATCAAGGGCAGCTTCCCGTCTTTTGGCAAGGTGGGCGTCTTCGAGGGCGGGCGGGCGGGCCAAAAAGGAACAAACGACTGCATAAACATGTTTTATCGGAGGTCCGCGCGGAGTATTGCTTGGATCGTCGCGAAGCCCCCCCCTCACTGGCGCGCGGGGCGCGCCGGGGGCGGCGCTGGAGGCGCCGCCAGGGGGCCCAGCGCCGATCCAAGATATCCGCACGGACCGTCGTGAGTTGGGGTTTCTGCAGGTTTTCGCCGAAGCCAAGGGTAAATGGCATCACTGCGTGAACAGGATGGGCGCTGAGCCCCTGAGAGCCGACGGAAGCGAAAGGACTCGGCACACTAGAGAAGCGGGCACCAGTGCATTCGGTGGGGGGGGGGGGTGGGGGGGGGGGGGGGGGGGGGCGGAGGGGGCGGCGGGGGAAGGAGGCAAGGGGGGGCGGGGGGGGGGGGGGGGGGGGGGGGGGGGGGGGGGGTATATGAGGAGATGTCGAAAGATGTACCCCAGCGCGCGCCCCGCCCGCCACCAGCGCGCCCCGCCCGACATACGGCCCCCAAGGTGAAGACCGCCAACCCCAAGGCCGAGTGCAGGAAGGGGAGCGCCTTCTGCGGGGCGGGCCCCCGCACGCACCAGCGAGAGGGTGGTGCGCGCCTCGGACACGCCGCCCGAGCATGCCGCCCTGCTCGCCCAGCTCGGCAGTCAGCGAGGGTTGTTCTGCTCCTATCGTATTTAAGGACCACACACCTGAAATAATTTCGAGCACCCAAAAAATATCGAAACAGTGTCGAGTGAGTATCGTCTCCAAGGGCCCGACACGTGAAAACCCTCAAGTTCCAGTACTTTCTTGGTGCTGGAAACTCTCTCTGGCGGTCAAGGCTGAAGTAGACTGGAACATCGCGATGGGGGGAACCGAGAAGGAGAAGGCCTTCGCAGACGGCGGCGGGGCTTCTCAAGACCCCCCCCCCCCCCGCGGCCCCCTGAGAAGTGCCCTGTGCCTTCGGGGGCTCCGGATATCTCGGAGGGCCCCGGACCCGGGGCCTCGGGGCCTCCTGAGGAGGCCCGCCCCCTCCTCTCGGGTTGACCCAAAAGGGGGTCCATCCACCGACAAGCAGGTCGTGCAATAGATTTGGTGCAGTAGATTTGGTGCAATAGATTTGTGGGGTTGCCCAATACAGTCTGGGACGCAGATGTATTGCTGGACTTTCGCGTGCCATACATGACCTGCAGTACGCCGCAACACAATTCTCCGGCGCAGTACCCTTGCAATACAGCCGCCCCAGATCTATTGCACAACCCCCCTTGCAGCTAGGCCCCCTTTTGGGTCACCCAGATCCCCGCTCCCCCCCCCCTCTGGATGCTCCTTACAATACTCCCCGCCGAGAGAAAAATGCACACGTCCGAGCGATACCAAGCAGGAGGCAAGGACGAGCGAGGCGGGAGGACGAGGGGAGGAGGGCCGCGGGGCGGGCGCTGCACCCCCCCCGGGGGACGTGCAGGAGGCACCTCGGGAGGCGCCGGAGGCAGACTCACGCAGAGTCGGAGCAGGGACAGAAGAGCATCCTGCAAGAACTGGGATGACCGTGGGGGGATCTAAGTGGATAAGGGGGGGTTACGCGTGGATGCTGAGGTGGGTTTTATCTGGCCCCACCTGGCTTCCAAGTGGGTCACAAGTGCCCTAAGTGGCTTAGGGGGGTTGACGATCCGGGCTAAGTGGGCTCCGCCCACTTAGCGGAGTGATCTAGCCCCCCTAAGCCATTCGGGGCGCTTGTAACCCACTTATAAGCCAGGTTGGGCCAGATATAACCCACCTTAGCATCCACGCGTAACCCCCCCTATCCACTTAGAACCCCCCACGGTCATCCCAGAGCACGAGGCCCTCCGCTGGCCAAGCCGGAGGACCTTCGAGGGCACCCTCCCCCCTCGGATGCCAGCGAGCTCCTATACGCCGCGGGCCGCGGCGGAGGCAGCCCGCACGCGCGTCGAAGAGCCACGCGGGCAGAGCGGAGGGCGAAAAGTGTCCCGCAGGCAAGAGGCTGGGGCAAAGAAGAGGGCCGGCCGCGGAGGACGGGGGAGCGGAAGAGGATATCCCAGCGCGACCCTACCTAGGAGTTGGAGCCTCTATAGGAAAGCAGCGTTAGCAGGAGCGGTGAACGCCGTCCTCCTCCCATGCTTCTGCTTTGCCTGCGCTCTTGCCTTCGCTTTTGCCTTTGCTTCTGCTTTTTTGCTTGGCACCCAGGGAGCGCAACTGGGGGAACCGCGCGATTGTTTTTACCTTTGCTGTTGCTTTTGCTTGGCTCCCAGGGGACCGGGGGAACCGCCCGGGGCGGGTTACACTGCCCGGCCCCTTTAAGCCAACAGAGTAAGAACCCTTCTATAGGCAGAGCCTAGGTAGGGAAAAAACAAGAAAAGGGGCCATAAACAGAAATTGTTGGCGCTCCGCGCGGATTTCTTGGATATGCGCCGGGCCCCCCTCCCTAACGCGTCTCCGGCGCCAGTGGCGGCGCCGGAGACGCCGCCAGGGGGGCCCAGCGCGGATCCAAGAACTCCGCGCGGAGCGCCAACAGGTTGTGTGTATGGCGTCAGTCTTCTTCGGGGGGGGGGGGAAGGCGCATTCACGCGGGAAGTCCGACAAGCACAGAGAACCTCGGGGGGCACCCTCCCCGAGCCGACCTCGACCTCGTGCCTCGGGTCGGCCGCACTCGACGCTGTCAGTGCGGCGGGGGGGGAGCCGGCGGCTCAGCACGAGCAGGTGCCCATGCTTCCCTCCAACCCTGAGAGGAGCCGCCTCAGGTTCGGTCGGGCGTGTCCTCCTGCAGGTGGATTTTGGACAAAATATCAAAAAATAATCACAATATCGTCCCCAGATGATTTTTGGAATATTCTTGAAGATTCCTCCTGTAGAGGGACAGGCCCGACGCAAGCCTCAGGGGCAGAAGAGCCGCCTGCTCCGCGCGTGCGACGCCTGAAGCCCAGCCTCTCGCTGGAGCTCGCGGGGGCTGCGGAAGGACGAGCGAGGCGGGATTGAAACTCGCCACACGTTCACGATCCAGGGGAGCTTCGTTGCTCCACGTGGGAATGCCTCGTGCATTACAGCTGCGCAGAGATTGCCCTCCCCCTCCTCCTCCTCCTCCTCCTCCTCCTCCTCCTCCTCCTCCTCCTCCTCCTTCAGGCCGACGTCGCTCTCCTGCCCTTCCTGCTCTCCCTGCGGTTGCCGATCCTCGCCCTACCCCCCCCCTCCTCCTCGTCGCCCCCCGTCCCTGCATCGCCCTGCTCCTCCCTCCTCCCCCTCCCGACGGCCAGGGTGCGGCCTGGCGTAGCCGCCGTCGCCGCCGTGGAGGAAGACTGGCACCTCCTGGGAGGCCGGCGGGCGGCGCGGGGAGGCAGCCCGCCGCCGCCGCCGCCGTGGCCGTTGCCGTTCACGGTGCCGTCGCGGCCAGGGCCACCGAGCATCGAGGGGTACGGGGAGCCTGGTCAGCACGCGCCTCAGACGAGGACGGGGGGCCGACTTTGAGGAGAGAGGATGAGCACCGCCGATGGCAAGAGAAAGGGGAACGGCCAGGAGGAGGGAGGAGGAGAGGGAGGAGGGGGAGGGGGAAGACCACTGGGTCAGAAACCTAGAGGTGCACTGTCCCTCGAGGGCCGCAGAGAACTCGACGGCCAGGATGAGAAGGTCAAATATTGGGGGCTCTTCCTATGCGGTCGCATGTTCCAGCGCGTGTTCGTAGGCCTGCCGGAACGGGCCATGTGGAAACGATGGACGCCCACTCCGAAGGCGAATTCCAAATTCCCATTCGGCGCTCGAGCGAACTCCAACATGCAAACAGGGGCCTTTAGAAAAGAGGTGCAGGAAGAGGACCAGGGGGAACTCACAAGCGGCTGTATCCATATCCGCCCCCTCGCGGTCTGGATTCTGGGCCGCGATTCCGTGGATACGCGGTCGCACAGATACAATCCGCACGGGGCCTCTGCGAAGCAAGCGCTCCGCATCCGCGGCCTCACGGCCCGGGAGACTGGCCCGCGAGGCCGCGGACACGGACACGTTCTTGGGCCCACGAGGAGCGGCCAGCCCGTGGCTCGGCTGAGGCCTCACTGGCGCACGCGGCACCACTGGAGGGACCAGAACCTGCACTCACACAAACGGTTGGAGCTCCGCGCGGATATCCTGGACCGACTCTCATGGCGTCAGCCGTGGCCGCGGCACCGTGCGCAGCAACTGCGCCCGTCGACGGCTGGAGCCGCAACACCACCGCCCGAGCGCGCGGGGAAGCTGCCGCGACCCCCCTGAGAAGATGCCGACAGCTTCCAGGGACGCTGCCGTGAACCCTCATGGGATAATCCCACCAGCCCTCTGGGCACGAGCGTTTTAGAGAGTTCCCTCTTCCACCCTCCCACCTTCTTCCCCTTTGGGGAGGGCTTTACCACTGCTCTTTAATTCGCTGGCCCAACGGGCCAAAGGCGTACTAAAATCTCGGGTAACTGGCGGCAATCAGGATGTATATTCGCGTACGCGGGGCGGCCCTTGGGGGGACAAACCCGGGACCATGAGCCCTCCCCCGCCACCCCCTGCAAGAACAATGAAACATGCACTTTACACCAAAATCTGGATCATGCGCGGACGCACTTGGTTTTTCACAAGGACGGCGGGAGGGGGGCGGCATACTGCCTGCTGCGTGCAACCCCCCCACCACCTTTTGGCGAACAACAGTGCTAATAACACTGTGTACCAAAAATCGGGATCATGCGCGGACACGAGTGCAGGCATATGGTCTGCTGCGCGCAAGCCTAACATGCTTGCCAAACCACAATACGACATATACGTTTACGTTTCGGCAACGATCATGCGCGGGAGTTTCGCGATTACTTAGCCTGGTTTTCTGAAAGGGATGATGGGGGTGCCGTGGCACGCGCGGCGCACCTCGCGGGCGTCGGGTATTCAGCTGACGTCTGCATCGGCTCCCGACAGTGGTCGATGGCGGCCCCTGCCCATGCTGGGACTCGAGTGCTACGTATGTGGCGGGAGGGCGGGTGGGAGTGAACCAAAAGAGTGCCTCAGAGAAAAGGCACCAATCACTGTGCTTGCAACGGTGCTCGGTCCATTTTAGCCTCCGGGGAATGCGGCCACTTGACGACCCCCCTTCTTCGATCGTTCTCTTCCAAAATGCCCCCGAGATGGCCCCCAAGGCTCCCAAGAGGGCCACAAAGGCGCCCTGGAGGCCCCAAGGACCCCCCAAGAGGTCTCCAAGAGGTCCCCAAGAACCCCTCCAAGAGGCCCCAAGAGCCCCCCACCCCCAAGACGCTCCAAGAGGACCCTGGGCCGCCGAGAGGCACCAAGACGCCCCAAGACAGCTCAAGGAAGCTCCCAAAAGACATCAGAAGAGACTTCGAGAGGCATCCAAGAGGCCCCTTGCCTTTCTGCTCGCCCTCATACTCCTCCTCCCCCAGCTCCTTTTCTTGATCCGCCTGTTCCCCCCTCCCTCCGCCCTCCCCCCTTCTCCCCCCGTCTCCGTCCTCTTCCTCCGCCTCCTCCGATTCCTCCTCCATCCTCCCCCTCTCGGGATAAGACTGCGCCCCAACCCCTTATTCCACAGCATGCTCCTTCACATCCTTGAGCAGGGCAATTCGCCTGGGCATCGTCTCTGGATGGGCTGGCAAAGTTACGCGAAACGTCTTGAAGTTCTGGATGCTTGTATAGCCCTGAAGGGATACCCATTTGAAGAAAGAATCTCTCTGCGACGTCGAGCGTTCCTCCGCGAGCCGCCAGTCCAGGGCGAAGCAAGGCGCGGGCGTCCTGGTAGCCGGCGTGACTGCGGCCGGCTAAACCGAAGCCCGGCCCAGCGCCTGAGGGGGCGTCGCACGGGGCCCCACCGCGGCCGCCGCGGCCGCCGATGCCGCCGCCGTCGTCGTCGTCGTCGTCCTTCGTCTCCTCCTCCTCCTCCTCCTCCTCCTCCTCCTCCTTCTTTTCCTCCTCCTCCGCCTTCTCCTCGTCCTCCTCCTCGACATAGCCTTGGCACAACATAGGTCTGTCACGCCGCACGCGGAGGGGGCCAAACGCCCACCCCGCACGACTCCCTAGAGCATGGGAGCCGCAACACCGCCGACGGGGCCCGAGAGAGAACGAAGAGAGACAGAGAGAGAAAAAGGAAAAGGATAGAGGCGCCGGCCTCACATGTGCTTCACGACGTGCAGCACCGACTCACCGAAGGTGAGCGGCCCCCATGCCTATCTGGCTCTTACAACACCAGGTGACACTGGCCACCCCCATCGGGCCACCGCGCGGGGCACGCGGTGCGGGAAGGTCATGTGTGTCCAGGCCCACCCCCGCAGAGCCCCTTGCCCAAGGGTGGTCAGGTGGGACCACGTCTTGAGCCGTGCCCGTGGGCCGACCCTCCCAGCCACACCCTCGCCCCGCGACTACAGTGGCTGGAGAATGCCCCCGCAGGAGCAGGTACCCGCAGGACGACGCGGACCGAGATCCACGCCGTCCCAGGGGGGGAACCCTCGCGGCCCCAGAACGCCAGGTCCCCGAGGGACCTGAGACTGCACACCCGAACCACAGCGGGACCACCGCTAGAGTTCGGGGGGGCCGCCCCAGGCCCGTCAAGGCACCGACGTTCCTGGCCCGCTGCGCCGCCCCTGCGCAAGCGACGTCTTGGCGGATTCCAGTTCACCCCAGGAGCCTCAACGGGCCGCCCACACGCCGAAGTGCCCTACTGGGGGCCTCCTCCTCCTCCTCCTCCTTCTCCTCCTCCTCCTCCTTTCAGAGAGCATTGGAATATTGTTGGCTCTTCCTCCCCTATCAACCTCCACCGGCTCCTCCTCATCGTCACAACCACCATGAGGAGCATCATTGTCATCACATCCATCATCATCCTCGTCGTCCTCACCATCACCACGTTGCCATAATCGTAGTCGCTGACGCTGTCGTCGTCCCCCTCCTCACCACCACTGCCAGCAGCACCCCAAGCATCCCTCCTCCTCCTCCCCCTCCCCCACCTGGCCCTCCGTGCCATGAGCCGACCTTCCCCATCCCGCACGGGGGCGCGCGCGCGCGCCTCCGAGCGTCGAGCGCATCCCTGGCTCCAGCTCACCATGCCCGCCTGCCAGAATGGCGGGGGCTCCCGCTCCAGACGGCGACGTGGGGAGACGGGGGCCTGCTCTGAGGTCGGGCATGTCCTCCCAAGGGCGGATCTTGGACGAAACATGAAAAATAGTCAAACCATATCCAAAAACGAATAAAACATACAAACTAGAAAAATCGTCCCCAGACTTCGAGTAGGGTATCGACTACAGAACTGATTTACCCCAATGTTGATTTTCGTCGAATCCATGAGTAAAACGTAGAACGTTCGTTCGACAACGTTCTACGCACGTTTCTTGTTTCCTGGTTCCGGCGAGAAAATCGAGTTGGGGGTACATCAATTATGTGGTCGATATCCCCTGCTCGAAGACCATTGTTCGACTATCTTTGAGCCTTCCTCCCGTAGAGGGACGTGCCCGACTTCTGAGGCCTGCTCTGCTCCTCCCTGCTCCCCGAGCGGCATCGGACGCTGCCGCACCCGTCGTCCCTCCCGGCGCACGGTCGGCCGCCCGGAGCGGTCACGCCCAGCGAAGCACTCCATCAAGCACGTCGGCTGCTCGGGGATCTTTTGAGCAGGGACCGACCGTCCCGGCACTCCTATAGACCTAGCACGAAAGTTCCTTGGAACTCAAAAATGTTCTAAGCACCCAGACAATGTTCTTAGAACATGCACCCAGTGTGCTAAAACAAGGCAGTCCCAGCCAGAAATGTTCTAAGAACCTGTTGTGGAAACCATCGGTAGGCTTATCGGCACGCCGATCTGCTGCCCCCTGTCAATCCAGAACCGGGCCAGTCAGGCCTTGCATAATCCTGCAAGATCCTGCACCCAAACCCGGTTCAACGTGAAGGGTCCTGCAAGATATCCTGCGGGATCCTGCGCCACAAAGCCCGGGTCCATGCGGCCCTGGCCCTGCAAGCGCCTGCAAGATCGGGCGCTCTGGCTGACCCCCGTCTGCACCGACCCCCCTTCAAGAACAGTCCGGCCTCGAAGGACGAAACGGGGCCTCCTCCCCCCTCCCCTCGGCGCCCGCTCGGGCCGGGCGCCTCTCTCGCGCACGCGCTCGCGCGGATCATGGATCCGTGGATCTGGCGCGCGGGCGCCAGATCCACGGATCGGGGAGAGCACCCCCCGAGACATTAGGAGGGCGAGGGCGACGAGGGCGGGGGCGGGGAGGGCGGATGGCGGAGGGCGGAGGGCGAGGAGGGCGGGGACGACGAGGGCGAGGGGGCGAGGGCGAGGGGGATGGGGGCGACGGCGGGGAGAGGAGGAGGGCGAAGAAGAAGTGCGCAGAGGAGGGCGAGGGCGAGGGCGAGGGGTGAGGAGGAGAGCCCCCCCCGAGACCTGAAGCCAGCGCCGCCCGATCCGAAGCCGGAGCGCGCCGCCGATCCCGTGCGGAGGCGGGGCCCGTCGCCAAGCCTCGCGCCTTGGACTCAGGTCGGGCATGTCCTCAAAAACGGTCAGGCATACAGTCGGGGCGTTGACCCAAGGAACCCTGAATAAGGAACGCGGCCCCTTCTATCCATAAGTTCAAATTCGGCTTCCTATCGAACACCGAAGGACAACCTTAGGAAAGCTATGAAACAATCAAGGAACACCGAGCACCTCCCCAACGAAAACGGTTCCTTGTTCAGCGCCCTGACTGTGCTGGAAAAATCGTCTCCCGACTATTGTTGCCAGTGCTTGACCAGTCCCCCTGTAGAAGGACATGCCCGACGTACGACGAGCTCGGCGCGCCGAGGCGCACTGCAGGGCGGCACGACCTGCACACCTCCGCGGCCCCCCCTGGCCAGGCCCACCCGGCGGCACTCCCGCCCTCGCCATCGCTCGGACGTCCATTCCGTGTGTGTTTTTTTCGGTCTCGTGCGTGGGTTTTTTTCGCCAAGTGATCAAGGATGCTCCTCGATGGTCCTCGCCGAAGCAAAAATGCACACGTCCGAGCGACGCCAAGCACCAGGCAACAACCCATCGTGCCTCCGCACCTTCCGCACCTTCCGCACCCGGGTCCGCCGCAGGGCCAGCTGGTGCACCGGCAGACCACACCGAGAAGGCCATGAGAGCTAGGTGCTCGGTCGGCCGGCGCCTTGAGGATGGAGCACGTGGCCGAGAAGAGACTCTGCCGTAGTGGCCGTTGGTGAAGCGAAGGGCGCTTATACTCGGAGCTGCCTCGGGGCATTGAGCCAGTGATACGGGACAAGGTTTGCAGGGCGTTGCGACTGCTGCCAGTGCCTTGACTTGACGGGCTTGACCGCCGTCTTTGCTGTGCGCAACTCTCTTCCTCGCTCGACTGGACACTCGTCAGAGGAAAGTGGGTCTCTGTAGCATCACAGGAACGAACCTGAGCGGCATACACGAATCTGTTCATCGGGGAGCTTTACCCGTACATTCTCAATATTCAACCCATCTGCCACCAAGCAACTCATGCACTCTTAAGCCCGACATGTGATGTTCCATTGGAGTCGGATCCAGGGTCTGCCGCAACCCCGCCAGCTCGATCACATTCTCCCGGCAAGCATATTTGGGTTTGAGCGTTTCAGCTGCAGCATACGTTCCGCACTTGCACGGCAGAGGTGAGCGAGCCAGCAACAACGTCCCCAAGGCGATCATCGGCGTTGCTAGAAGGTCACAACATTTTCTCGCGATTGAGGGAGACTGCGTGGATGCACATTTCCCAAAGACAGACTTTGATGCTAGCCCTTTCGGGACTCACGGCGGACATCGCTCTGTATCTCTCCTGTGCCTACAAGAGTTGGCTCATCTCTGATTGGCCAGCGTACCAAACTGCGCACGTGTCATCTGATCAGGCAAATCTATGCTGCGTCTGCTGCTGCTAGCTGCTAGCTGCAACGCAGGAGCATTTGCCATGCAGGGTTGGGGCAATCCCTATCCCTGGCGGCTTCCCGACGACGAATCGCACCTGGAGCGCAGGCCGATGGCCGCACGCCGCGCTGAGTGAGCAGCCCGGCCCGGAATGGCCATTGTGGACCTCCCTCCCCTTCGGATGATTGCACTCGTCTCCCCCAGGGGTCCACGAGTCGAGGACCCGAGTGCGGGCCTGTCCCAAGGTCCTTGGCACTGCCCAGTGTTGCAGTTGGCGCGCTGACAACAGCTGGAAGACAATGGACCCCAAGAGGCGGGTCAGAAACTGGTCTGCCTGTAGCCTGAGCCCCCTCGAGACAATTACGATACCAAGTTGACAAAATCCCCGTCGCGACTGCTTACCTCCCCTGCCATCCAATTTGATGACCCAGCACCGCAATTTCCAGCCGCTCCTGGGGGTGCTGCCCCCCCTCCTCCTCCTCCTCCTCCTCCTCCTCCTCCTCCTCCTCCTCCAACCTCCTCCTCCTCCTCCTCCAACCTCCTCCTCCAACCTCCTCCTCCTCCAA